ATTTCAGATGGATACGGACACGCGAGAGATGATGAAACTTTCAAGGATCGTGTAAAATGGTCGGAATCCGCTTTCTATTCAAATCGGAATCGGACGTCGCTCGCGAGCGAATTTCGCTAGCATACCAGCCTTAGAAAACGAATCGTTCCGACTCGATCGTCGCGGTTCCCGATTCGAACGTTTCACCTGCACTGCCCCCAACTTGATCGAGCGAAGGAGATGACAACTGCACGAGGTGGGAAACTTTGTCTGATAATAATTGGAAGCCTAAGTCTTGGATTGAACTCACAGCCGGAGCGACGATGCTGGCGGACTTCCTCAGCTCAGCGGCTGAACCGATTGCTCTCATCACTGTTTTCATCACCTGGGCGATAATGAAGGCGACTGCCGTCGATACAACGAGACACGAGATCGCGTTCCACATATTTTCTGATGCACAGCGCTGTCATTGGCTTTCGACTCGGGATCAAAGTTGTCAGTCAATCAGATGCGTTGGTATTCGCGATCGGGACCGCCGCCACCGCCGTCTACAGCAGTAGCGCCGGTGGCTGTCGTGGTATGCTCCTTGTTACTCTACGAGACTGAACGCACAGCATGAATCTGCCGACAGTCCGCGCATCATACATCGCGCCGTCTGACCAAGTATTTCAAGAGTTGCGAATCGAGTAGAGCAGACCGACTTCAGAAACAACAGCAATATGATGAAGGAGGAGAAGAGAAAACGAAAGAAGACTCCGTATAGCGAAGGCAACGATTCCCCCTGAATGAATTCACGACCAGCGATTCTCCAGGAAATCGCCTGCAGAGGCAACCGCCTGAACATCCGATACACACCGGAGCTCCTCCGCTGAAGGAAGTCGTTTCTCTCTCCCTTTTCTTCAAATATACAATTTTTCACCCGAAAACATGGGCAATGGCAGAGACCTCCATAAAACTCGACTGAGCCAGTGAGTCAGCTGATTCCGCCGACCGACGGACAGTCAGAGCCTCCGTCGGTGACAGATCATCATCTGTCGACTCAAATCTACGCTAGGCGGACTCGATGCATTGGAAATCGACGGACCGACGTGAACGCCGGCGGGGCAAACGAGGCGCAGGATACAAACCACACAATACGCTCATTATATCCGACTGAGTGAGAAAATTCAGACAGGAATGCTATTGTCATCGCGTCTGCATTATGAATCACTGTTGCTACCGTGGTTCGATAGCTTGAAGTGGCGTACGGAGATGTACCTGCACGGACAGTCTTCTAAAGTCACGCGGTATTTGATTCCACGGAGATCAGATAGACTTATGGAGACACTCAGACTTCGAATCGATGCAGTGCCACCGGTATCAGACTCGCAGCACTTGTTGTCTGCAGCGCTCAAGGTCCCGAAATAGGGACCATTCAGCCCAGCTGAAAAACTTCAGCCGGGCGTGGCGAGCCGACCGTTGGAGCTTCGAAGACCTCTGCAGTTTTCTTCGATCGAGAAGCAGCGAATTTCTCCTACCGCGATGTCGTACGAGCAATGCCGGAGTCAGAGTCGCGGCGCGGCACCTGACGGATACTTACATAGATCGGGGACTCTGAGGGACGGATTTCCATTTTGACTCGGTCGGGGAGAAGCTCCGTGGGCCGCTCGTCCGCAACCTGTAAGATAACACGGAATACATTTCATTTCAAACTCGCTGCTTTCGTGTACGGATTTTATTATCGTTCACGTTTCAAGCTTTCCCCCGAACGATTATCCCACGAGCAGAGGAGCATGACACAGGAGTTTAATGCCATGTTTCACGGCTTATGCTCCGACAGGCCGCATATCCAAATCATATCGACTATCGGACTATCGGAACTACCAACTGGTCCAGGCAAATGTCACACTCAACGCTGAAAGCGCGGAGCTGCTGTTTCCGAAGGTCCCTCTCTCGTTCTCCACGTTTCTTCCTTTATGTGTGTCGTTAGCGGTCCTCGTATAGAGACGCTCGCTCGCTCGGTCCGTCGGTCGGTCGGCCGTGCGGCATTCAGGACAGCTATTCTTGGTCGAGGCGAGTCGACTAGATTGGAGAGTATCCGGGAGCCTGGATGCGATTCCCGTCGTCCGTGTTCGAAGTCAAGAATCAGCTTTCTGCTGCTCGACGAGATCGCCCGTGCATGGAATATATCGTCCTAAAGGCCTATCAGGCTACGTGCATCCTTACCTACGTACCTGCTCGCCTCTCGACTATTTGATCTGAGCACGGAAAGCGAGGGAACCCTTTTCAGTGCCCCACTCGAAGCCAACTTCACCGTCAGCCGCTCATACAGAAACACTCATCGAGACAGCCCCTAGTTTCTCTCCGTGTAATTGAGTCTCTCTTTGAGTCGCTAAAGGGTCACGTGCTCTGACTGAATCGTGAAATCACAATTTGTGCTCTGAGCGAGAGACTTCGTCCTCCGATCTCCGAGTCAAGCTCTGCTCAGTCAGAATCAGGGGAGCCTCGAGCTTCAAGCATAAAGATTGAATTGCTCCCAAGGCGCGTTAGATGCCCGTAGAGTTGACGGCAGGAGGCGAACGGGTCAACTGACGTCATGCGTTGAAAGAGGCCGTCGGATTCTCGGACGGATTTGAGCAACAGTGTTCACAGTGCTCGCTCAGGAGAAGCACGCTCAGGATTTTCTGATAGCACTTCGTCTCTTTACAGAACCTTAATCGGTTACCTCGGCAGTGGTTCGGTATTCAGGCTTACTTAGTCTACGCCGGCTTTCAATGATAGTTTCTTCAAATGAGGGCCGAAGATTGACACCGATCTGAGCTTTTTCCAAGGTCGAACCACGGACCGCGGAGCGTGAGTGAGTTCCAGAAGAGTTCCCCCGCGGTTCTATTCACAATTAGGAACTGAACCCCGTTTCAATCAAATTTCAGACGGGAACCCGAGATTTCTCATGAAATTCGAAGCGACTCAGAAGACGACTTGAATTTCGAAAACATAGTTCTTCCCCGGCTTTATTCCTGCTTTCCTCCCATTCTTAAGGATGTGAAGCAGCGAAATCGGGAAGCAATTGAAAGAGTCAAATCTGAGCCCGAGAAGCGGCTGAATGGTAGTCGAACGATACGCTGAGATATTTCCAAGAAACGCACGACGAATCGTCTTCCAGTGGTCGCGGATGTCATTAGACTACAGACGTGGTATGATTCTTTGACGTTACTTGCAAGATCAGATACTAATTTACGATGTTCTTCTTTCGACTCCCTTTATACTCCGGGAGTTGAACGAAACGCTAGGCGACATGAGTCACGAGCTTACGGCTAGCTCTCGTATTGATTAGAGGCACAGCTCAAACAAGAAAACGTCAAGAAACATTCCCAACGCTGGAGCTCTTTGCCTCGGTGTGTCATTCGTTTCCGTTGGCCGAGCCGACAGACGGCAGGAGAATTTATCAACAAACTTTCCAGGTTTCTTGCTGAGGCTGATTCATGTTTATCCTTGGGAGAATACTCCCGGGGCGAGGGTCCAAACGAAGGTGGGCTGAATGTCGGACTTTCATTGGGACCTCGAGGCCCAGGTGATATCACCGCAGGTTGTTAGTTCTCGCGATTATCCCGCGAGCTGCGGAGCGATCTCGTCGCAAAAGACGGAAAGCGAAAAATGACGGATCTGCTCGAGAAGACCGAGGGAGGCACTTTGGATGTGCAGAAGGCATCTTTCGCAAAATGATCAAAGCTGACATGAGCTGAGAAGGTTCGCCACTATCTAGCTCTCCAGGAAGGCTTCTCGTAAAAAAAAATCTCGTGCATCAAATTCCGCGCGCTATAAAGGCTGACGAGCAATATTATGGCGTGAAGGGGACCCGACCTTCGGGGAGACTTTAATAGGGGAGCCTCGGAAGAGCATCGACCGGCTCCGCGATGATCGAAACGCCCGCACTCTCGTTGCTCTCTTCAATATGCGCCTTTCGAGGGAAGGTGATGCCTGCACCGAGCTCAGGAATGCATCATAGTTCGGGAATGATTGCGTAGCCACGAACACACGTTCGACGATCGTTCTAGCCGATCTGGTCGGCGTACGGAGGTTTTCATCCGACCAGAGCAACGCCGTTTAGTGTCTATTCGGGACAGCCGCGACCGTTTTCTTGTCCTATCACTGTATCCCGGGTGGATGCGGCAACGTATTCTGACTGAATCATCATCAGCAGCAGCCACTGCCGCTTCAGCAGCAGCATCACCGAGCTCCCATACCGGACTTCTGATTCGAAGTTTTCTGTCTGAAGGACCGGAATCGTCCGTTGACAGAAATCATCGGAAATTCGCGCTCGTTCGAGCAGCCTGTGGCTATGAGGAACTCCCTCCAGCTCGATCGCCGGCCTCGAGCGCTTCAGTCTGAGCAGAACACAGAGAGGAATGCGAGAAAGTTTGATTGGGAGGAAGTATACAGCCGCAAAGAGCGGCTCAATCCCCGGCGCGGGAAAACTTCCACGGAGAAACATTCCAGTGCTCTCAAGAGTTCGACGCTCCTACGATAGCGACATTAGTAGACCTGACGCACCTGTGTCCGTTCCTGGATACTCAGAAACCTATGGCACTCTCGGCTTGGCACTCAGTTTCGCTTGTGTACATCACCGCATGACAATTCGTACGTCCAGTACTCCACCTGTACTCGTCGACGTCGAGGTCAAGATCGAAACACAAATTCAACGCACACTTAACAGAAATCCTAGAGAACTAATCACAAAAACAATACGCTTGTTAACGGTATAGCGACCACGGGATGTACAGCGGTGCTTGTCCACCGAGTGCTCCGTAAGTCTGGATTGTCGAAAAGCGAGTTTCGTTCGCAGACCAAGAGAGGTCGCCACAGGTCGAAGCTTCTTTGAAACCGCGCATCGGGTGAGCCCGCCGCCGCGTCCGTCGCTGTCAAAGCTCGGGTAAGCCAGAATATCCGACTCTGGCTCTAAGTCATTGATTTCTGGACTCATGAGATGGGAATCGACGGGGAGGCCATCAGAATAGGGGAAAATCCCCGATTCGATTCCCGAGATGCTTCGAGTTGCCACCGCGGAGGGCGCTGTCGATCAAAATAAACACGGAGCGAACCCAGGTGGCTCGAATTCGAACGATGTCAGACTCCGCGTAAGTTGGGGAGCTGGAGAGTTTGGAAAGAATCTGTTCGTGATGTGAGGAATGATTCCAGTGAAGCATCTCTCAACATCGGCTCTCCTTCTCCATCGTTTCCAGAAGCTCGGTACGAGCGCGGCCTTCATGGCGAAAGGGAAGAAATCTCAGACGAAGCCTCAGGTATTTGGACTAGGTCATCTGCGGACTCATACATTCTCTACCGAATATCGATTTGTGAATGAATGAGAACTTTGGCCTTGGAGCTCGGAATCTCAAAGATGTCTTTGCCTTTCGTGTGATAGGAACACCCGCCGGCCTCGAATGTGGCGGGAGCTGTGTTCTCCAAAAGCGCAGGAATAGTCGGCGTACGGATACATGCGAAGCCCGGAGCTAAGCTCTCGGCCGTAACTGGTGAGTCCTCATCGACCACTTGATCTCCGGACGGAATCTATAGTCCCAGGGGCTGATCCGTTGCAAGATGCGCTGCCGGAGCGTCGTTGATTTTTATTTACCGGGCAGATCGGCGACAGCGAGTTAATGCGCCGAACTTCGCAGGTATCGGTGCCGAGGCTGTTGAAGTTCAGATAGGAGCTCCACCGGTGGACGGCGAAGCCAATACCGAGCTCGTGAAGTATCTGGCAAAAGCACTGGATCTACGGAAAAGTGACGTATCCCTGGATAGGGGCAGCAGATCCCGAGAGAAAGTGATCCTTATCGAAACGAAATTCTCGTGCGAGGAAATACGCGAAAAAATCGGTGCCCTCGTCGAAACGTGACCGGAAAGAAGCTTCCGGGTCCGCAGAGATTCCTTCTTTCCATGGATGAAGTCCGGAGATTGCGAGAAAGCGCTGTGATTCTTATTAGTTCAAGATATATCGACCTCAAGGAATAAAGAGCTCTATGTTTTCATAAAATTCGTTCTATTTCCTGCAAACCAGTTAGGCAGATCAGGTGAAAGACATAATGCCCCGGGGGCGGAGAGATCTTCGCATCCGCGACGGTGGACTGTTCATTTTCAACGAGGGGTTCTGGTTTATCACAGCTGAAACAGTGCTTTGAGCTGCTGCATCGTATCATCGGGGCTGGTCACGGTGTGGCCCTTAGTGCGAGGGTCTTCGAAAATCTCGTGATCGTTGCCGCCTGGATACGTCTTGTCGCCGAAGAAAAAAATTTCATCGTAACCGTCCCCCTCCACGAACTTTAAGCAATATCGTTTGTCCCAGCCTGCAAAAGGAAAAACTGGTCAGAAGAGAGAACACATGGTACTCCCCTCGGGAAACCGAGTCGGTGCCTTCGAATCAGGTGATTCTCCTGAATTGGTCTGAATGACCCTATGTCGCGAAGTTACGGGACACCGGTAATGAAGTCGAAACTACGAAAGAAACTCACCGTCTGGGTAGATATCGAACGAGATCTGCCCTCCGATTGCGAAGCTCAGCCCGGAATCTGGGAATTTCTCTCTTAGAGCAGAAATCATTGTTTTCCGTATATTGTGTTCCTTGTCGAACTTCTCAAACTCGTCCCTCTCGTTCTGAGAACAGTTCCGTCCAATTGGAGACACGTTCATCATGCCCTGCCGGAATTCGATGAAAGTTCCGCGCTTCTTTGGGAGTTTCAGATCAGCTATGTATCTGTAAAACCTTTAGTCAGAAGACAGAATCTCACACAAATCTATCAATTTATCTTCGTTGAGTTTTCAATCAATCCGAACGACAAGAACTCACTTGAGACAGAAGTTGATCAACGCCTGCAGTCGTTCTTCTCCGATGAATTCCAAGAAGCTCTGGTTGTGGAAATGCTCTCCCTTCTTGTGAGCCACGAGTCCATTCTGAGAGAACACGTAATCGAATTTATGTACACAGTCATGCCCGACCTGTTCCTGGATTTTCGCTAGATCTGAGCCGCCCACGAGACCGATGGCGACTTTTTCATGCAAAGCCTCAAGGAAAGCTTTGAATTCCTTTGTAATGGGGTTCCTCGCTTTAGTTAGAGTCCCGTCAACATCGAACAGAATTATTCTCTTCATGCTCAGCCGCTGGCGACGGAATACAGGGCCACAAGGTAGGAATCAAGATGGCGGCTGGCGCGGCTGAAGTTTTGGCCGCGAGGCAAGATGGCGGACTGCCTATGGGCCGCTAAATCAGCAGGACGGGACCCCACAAACTAAAGTGAACCACCTGGTGAATCATTCCCACAATCACTCCAGTCGTGCTCCGAAAGATTCTCGCCTCTTAGTGACGTCACGCATACAGCACCGTTCATCGCGAACCCCGTTCGATTTCCCCGATTGCAGCGTGCCGGCATCCTGCCCCGGGCCGAGTAGAGAACGTGTGCGCCCAAGGCAGGAGAGCATGTGGCACCGCGCGCCGGTCAGAGCGACAACATAGGATCCGAAACTTCGCGCAACGCAGAATAGGATCCGTCGTCGGGTACATCCTCCGAGAAGATACATTGAACCGGACTTGTACCGGGGCGGAAGCTTAGCGATTCACCGAAGCTGGTCGACTGCGGATCACACCGAGCAAATCAGGTGAGCAGCAACCGTCGGATGGGGGATCTTTCCCTATCTCCCTGGCCCCCTTCCCAACCCTTGTGTTCCGGGTTTCAAACCCCTGGGAATTTAAGCGATCGCTAACTTCAGTAATTCCCCTATCAGGATCGCAATGGAAGCGAACGTGAGCTGCAATCAGCTGCTTCCTAAATCGAAAGCTGACTTCGCTACGAAAGATTACTGGGATCGCTTTTTCACGAAACGAACGGCCGCGTTCGAATGGTACGGAGAATTCTACCAAATATCTCCCGTGATATTCAAGTATGCCAAGCAAAACGATAAATTGCTCGTGGTCGGCTGTGGAAACTCGACAATGTCCCAGGACTTGTACAGGAGCGGATACACTTCGGTGGTGAGCGTCGACATCTCTGACGTCGTGATCAAACAAATGAAGAAGAAATACCCGAAACTAGATTTCCGCACCATGGACGCAACGAACCTCGAATTCTCCGACTCGGAGTTCGGCATCGTAATCGATAAAGGGACCACCGACGCTCTCCTCCCTTCGGACGCTCCCGATAAGATTGAAGTGGCGCACAAAGTTTTCAGCGAGGTCGCTCGCTGTCTCCGTTTCGGCGGACGTTTCATATGCGTCAGTCTGCTTCAGGACCACGTCGCGGGAGCGGTATTCGATTATTTCAGAACGAAGAGCGCACAAGACACGACATGGGTTGTCAGAGTTCACAGATGCGAGGATTGCAAGACGTGCGACTCTAGTCTGATTCTACCGGTTTACATACTCGTTTGCACCAAGATGAAACGGCTACCCACGGGGCCGTGTGTCTTGGAGCTCATGATCGGAGACAAAGCCATGCGGTACACCTCAGCTGAAGATCTATGCAAGGAGATCAAAGAACAGCAGAACTTCGCGTTCTTGAAGAATCACGTCAACAAAACCACGCTGACTGAGGAATTCCATACGCAGCTGTTCTCAACCGAAGACACGCAAAACCCAAAGTACGAACTCTTCATCGTAGACACTCCTGACTCAGACACTCAATGCAAGTTGGCGTGTTTCCTCGTGCCGGAGGGCCGCGAAGTAGAATGGCTCTACGGAACCCCCGAGGGCAGGAAGATAACGGCCAAGCAATGCGGGGCGACCAGGGTGATCTTCGTACATTTGAACCGAGTTTTCACCTACGGGAGTCAGCAGGATATCCAGGACGAGCTGTCTGACGCCATACAAGAGATGGTCCCTCGAAACTTCAAGGAGGGAGTTCGTATACCGTTCATGTCCCTGGGCGATTCTGCAGGCACGAGGAATGTCTTAGAGAAAGGCCACAGCGATCTGAGTGGTACCTTCGTCGTCGAAGACGTGAGGGTTTACCACGAGACGTTCCGCAGACTGGTATTCTGCGGGAGGCAGAGCGTCATCCAGACAGAAATGCGAATCACCGCTGGAGGAGAACTGGACTTCAGTTACCTCTCGGGTGAATACTACAGGTACATGTTGGTCGCGCTCGGCTACTTCGACCAGCCGGGCAGCGCTCTGCTCTTGGGATTGGGCGGTGGCACGCTGGCTTCCTTCATCTCCAAGTTCACCGAGTGGAAAGTTGAAGCCGTCGAGCTAGACCCAGCCATCGTGGAGGTTGCCAGAAAATACTTCGGGCTGCCTGAAAGCACCATCACTCACGTACAAGACGCTTTCAAATTCATAAAAGAGACTACGGGAACCTTCGAAGTAATTCTACTGGATATAGACAGCAAGAATGTCGGACAAGCCATGACCTGCCCGCCGGAAGAGTTTTTGGAAGAGGACTTCCTAGATAACGTCGTCAAACGACTGACCGAGAAGGGAATCTTCGTGGTGAATCTCGCCTGCAGAGACGAAAGCAAGTGTCTAGAAGTGTACCGCACGTTACAGAAGAAATTCCAATATTTGAGCAGAGTCGACATTAGCGAAGATGTCAACAAGATCATAATGGCTTCGAACGTCTGCAAGTTCGATAGTGTCCAGAAATTAATAGAGACGTCGCAGGGGAAGAACGAGATCAGTAATTTGTCCAGAATGATGGAAAGTGTAGATGTGGCGAAGGACGAACAGAAAAATACAGAAAGACTTCATCGGTAGACGAATTATTATTGTTCAATCAATAAATTCGGTTGACTGTTCGGTTTTGTCGTGTACGGTGCCTCGAGGGTCTCTACGATCCGATTCCCTTTCAGAAATCGATAGAGATTTTATCGTTAGAGCCAAAACGCAGAAGTCCGTTAAAGAAAATATTTGGAATCCTTGTTTATTCGTTCTCCCCCATAAGTTCTAGGTAGCTTTAGCCCTGATAGCGGCACGCTTGGCTGTGACTGCTTGGAATCCGCTCTTGATGGACTGTACAGAGCATCTGGACCCGCATTTCTCACATCGCAAAAAGTTCAGACGAGTATCCTTCTCCAAGATTGTTTCGGGTGCACGACACGTGTGACACGTAACGTACTCCTTAATATATCTGGAAAGTCAGCGCTCGATTAATCAAGGGAGCTTCCGTGTTTCATATCGGGCGCGGATCTCAAGCGCTCCCGTAGGGCCAGGCAGGGACGCTCTCCGAGAAGAGCTTGATAAGCACAGGTCTACGATACTAACCTCCGAAGAATGTTCTCAATCTGTTTTTGCTGGAAGCGACCTTTGATGATCAGCTGATTATTCGCATCTACGGATCCGCTAGTTCCTAACTCGGCCAACAAGAAAGCCTGAAGGTGCTTCGACGTTCTTCGCAACGTCTTTGAAATTTCCAGGAAGTTGGCGAATGAAGTTTTCTTGGTTCCGACCCGGAGAACCTGCAATGATCAGGTTCGGAATGGTAGTCATCATTTTTCCAAGGTCTGGAGTGCTCGGGAATTCGGAGAGAATTCCGATCTCGACTCCACCAGCTGCTCTCCGAAAGAATGGACTAGTTCATAATCGTTCATCATGAGACCTCATTTTACCTGTGGCGGTTTCATGACGAACTTGCGCTTCTCTCCGGCAACCATGTCCGGATTCTTCTCCTTCATTATGTTGAATACTCGTTGCAGCAGCTCATCATAGGTATAGTCTCGATCGGATCCACGCCATGCGTCGGTGCCTCCGGATGACGGGGAATCAACCTCTCCTTCGGCTTCCTCGTCAACTGAATCAAGAATCGAGAGCTCATTCATCCAAGATCGCGTTCGTTCATGCACTTGGATCGGCAACAATCACTTCTGTTCATCCCTGGGACTCGTTTTTTTCCGAAGGAGAATCGTCATATCCCTCGTCGCGGTATTGATATTCCCTTGTACCGAAAGCTTGACCAGAAGTAGAGCGGAACATCTCCGCAGGAATACGTGGAAGATTCCCGATAAAATCGATAGTATCTACTCACGTTCGAATTCGTCAACGTTGACCTTCTTCTTCTTTTTCTTCTTCTTCATGTTATTGAAGTCCAGGTCATCGTCCCCACCCACACCGTCGGCTCCGATACCGTCTTTTGCGTTCTGGGAATCGTCGAGCGCACCACCTAGGTCTTCGAGGTTGAAAGTAGGCTTTTTCTTCTTGCGCTTCAGTTTGGTGAAATCTAGGTTCTCGTCGTCATCAATGTTTTCCTTTGAAGCCGCATCTTTGTCTCCTTTCTCGACATCATCGTCAGCAGCTCCTGACGGCGTCGTCGGTGGACCATCTTCAAGGAAAGAATCGAGTTTATCTACAACCATGCGAGAATTTCAGGATGGACTACATAGCCTGAAATTCAGGCGGCTCCGATCTTATCGCGTGAAAGCGTTTCTCCGGACGACACCACCAAGTCTCGAGGGAAGTCGACTTCCGATGTTTGCGACCTCGACTCCGATTTCGAATTTGAGGCGGAGAGCCGCGTCGCCGAGGAGCAAAGCATTTTTCCACAACAGATGAAACGTGCAGTCACGGATCCACGGCAAGGAACTCAGAACCCCAGAATTCCGAGACCCGATCATCTCCAGAGCATATGGTCATGGCTGAAAAATTCCCGACACCGACCGGTCTATGCGAACGATTGGCATTTCGCGGCCGAAATCAGCGACTCCCGAGGTCTCCCCTGCCCCTGATACCATCCAGAGTCGGAGGGGCATCGAGAGGAGCTCTACAGATCCTCAACAGAGGGTTCTCGAAATTTTATCGCTCCAGAGACAGTAGCAACCCTGTGGGACCGGCGTTGAGCCGCTACGAGGCTTTTTCTTACCTTCGATGCCCTCAATCGCCGAAGGATCGAAAGGCTTCTTCTTCTTTTTCTTCTTCTTCATGGTCGGGTCGAACCCAACCTCTTCTTCTGTCATTTTGGAGCTTTTTATCCGCTAGCGAAGTTCACAAACAGCTTTGATTCACCACTTCGAATGTTACCACGTTTCGGCTCACTCCTCTGCTTGAGTCTTGCGTCAGACAAGATGGCGCTTGTCTGCTTTATCCCTCGGAGCTCTGGACTCTGCGGAAACTTCTTTGTTGCCGTTTTCACAATCGGTCCGGTATCCCACCAAGTGGAATATCGCCAATGAAAAAGGGCTCATGTGGAAGATCTGTGCGGTGCCCGTCCATTCGAGGCTACGCGTAAGCCCTGGAGCGATTCGGGTCTTTTCAGGTGTCGGTCAAATAAAGAGTTTCCTTCGATTAGGACTCCAGTGAAGGAACGAGTTGAATCGAGAATTTCGGGTTGGGTGCACCTGTGGGCTGAATTTCGGAATGCGCCTGGGATGCGAAGCTTCGAATCATTCCGAATCTCGAATATGCCGCAAGACGGAACTCTCACAGAAACGAGTCGGAATCAACGTCAGTGCTTTGGTTTTGACGAGGAGTTCAGCGATCCAGAGTGAATCCGGATGAATTTTCCGTACTCGCTTCTCCGCTGCTTCGGCGCTCTTCCCCTTGAGCCCGTCGTGGAATCAGAGTCGAAAATCGACCCCCCCCGTATGTCGTGAACGATGAGGGTTACAATGATTGGTCTGGAGGCTGATGGATCAACTCGTATCTCTTCCCGTTTGCTCGATCCTCTCGATGAACTATTCTTCCGGTCTCTTCTACCCGCAGCTTCCACAGCGGTTCATCGTCTCTATCCCCCTCTGCTGGGGATGTCGTTCGGAGCGGCGAACTTTAACAGAATGCCTAAGACTTGATATGGTGCCTCAAACGCGTCAGCCTCCGGAAGTACTGATGTAGGTTCATGTCCTCGGCATGATTCCATTGGGACGTATGATTCCTCCCGTTTCGAGCGCTGAAGACCGGAATATCAGTGCCGTAAGGTACAGCATTCCTGTGAATGATCAAGTCTCTACACCTAGAACGACTGGATGAACAGGCGGTATCGGATATCGGCGTAGGTACCTGTGAGCTCAAGTCTGGCAAAGACGGAAAGCTTTGAGAAATTCGCCCCAACAAATCAGTCTGTCCTCACATGAGAACGCAATAATGATGCTAATCTTGACACGCTCTCCGCGCTATCGGAAATGCAATCGTCCAGCAGAACCATGACGTCGACTGACGCTCGCGGCATCAGATTTAGCCGTCAGAGAGCTTGATCGAACCATCACAACGACAGCACGCTCAGAAGTTCGACTGCCCAAATTCGCGGGTAATTCTATTGAATTCTGAGTATGTCATCATTGAACCTAACATTTCAGCTCATCTCGACCGGCACCCCATGCTGACGGGAGTATCGCCGCAGTCCGACGAGTACTCGGACCTCAGAGCTATCGCATGCATCTTGCATTCTAGCTTGTAATTCCGGATTAGAATCGAAGAAACGCTCTGATGATCGACCTCTCGCGAGGACGCATCAATAATTTTTTGCAGCCTCTTAGCTGCTATCAGGCATCCTGGAACTCCTGCCGCCTCTCTCCGTTAAACTATGTATTTCGATAATTTTGATCCCTGAGCCTACCTCAATTCCATACGAAGTTCGAATGGCTCTTTGTACAGAAACAATTTTTTAATTTATTACATGGTATCGAAACTATACAGTTTAATGTACACGTTCAAGTTGTTTCTATGGAAACTGTCGTTGAGATATCAGCGCCTCTGCGGAGGCATCATGTACGCACTTTGGCCACGCATGTAGGGATGGTGGGATTGGGATGAGGTCCTGAAAAATGAATGAGAACTCACGGAGCCGTCCCCCCTCGACCCCTATCGAGCTGACTGATGAAGAATTGCTCAGCAGGAAAGGAAGCCATCACTAACCTGTAATGATCCCTTATCGGACCCCCGGCGGGCTGAGGCATCTGTCGAACCTGATGAGGCGATGTGCCCATGTGATGCACTCCAGTGCCGCTCTGATAAAATTGATGGGAAGAAGCCGTGAAGTCCTGAGGCGGCGGCACCTGCATGAAGTAGCCGTGCGGGGGATACGCCGATGAAACCGACGAATTTGATCCTACAGGACGGGCCTGGAAAGAAACGCGATTCCTTGTTGAGACTGGGAACCCTTGCCTTTAGGCTCTGCGAAGTACAGCTGTTCGATCCCTCTTCACTGGAGGATACGGCAGCGAATGAGTAACGCGAGGTACACGAGTCAGAATTTCCAAAAACGTACATGCACTGGAGGTCCCTGCGTATTCAAACCCGGATGCAGGGGCGGAGGCGGATGGGGATACTGAGCCGCAGCGATACCTGGCTGTAACTCGAGTAGATGGATGACTTTTTAAAAAATCATCTCAAAGTTTCGCTCCATTCACGCGATGCTTTGCTCCGCGATAGTTCTTCATGCCCGACATTCGGATGGAACGAATCGCTCAAACGGAGGGCTGAATACCCCGAGGGGAAGAAATCCAAACCCCGGTCCATCTTCATTCGAGAGATACACCGCGAGCTCACCTGATTCGGGATGGCATTGGGCTGCGGCGGTATGGGCGGCAATGGAGGCATCGACTGGAATCCCTGATGCGATGGAATCAGCGGCGGTTCCGAGGGGGGCGGCGCGAAGAATTGCGGGGGTTCCTTTGGTAGCGGAGGCGCCACAGAGTTCTGAAAAAAGCGTATGAATGAGGAATGTGTTTCGGAGCGAGAATGCTCCGAAGCTCTGAATGGATTATTCGAAACGACGCGACACTCACAATGGTCGATACCATGGGGGGCATTGGAGGCGCCTGGAGTTTTTTGTCTTGTGCAATGGCATGAATTTCCTCCTTTTTCTCTAGCTGCAAGTTCGTGGCGAGATATGAGCCACAAAATTCTTCGTGCTGCCTCACAAAGTATTCGGCGAAGCATGATTATTGGAGCTGGGAAAAGCTCTTGTTGTAGTCACCGCACTTACCTTCAGTTTTGGCTGGGGTGGCGGAGACGCTGGTCGATGTCTCTTTGGAGTACCCGGACTGACTTCCTCTTCTGCGGGCGAGTCTTGAGGCTGTTCGGGATGCGTCGTCTGATACAAGTCTAGGATTTGATGACAAATGTCTTCAAGCAGGTCGTTCGAGACTTCCGATGCAAAAGCCTCCCACCATCGACGTTGACTCGGTGTTCGTCCTGAAGGAAGATAATTTTTGATCTCAAGATTCTCAGATGAGGAGCTCGGCCTAGGTGCTCATTTCCGAGAAGAGAAGAATACGAACCTTGCCAATCGCTAATCTCGAACTGTCCTAGCTTGCTCGCAAGATATATTGCCGCGATAGCTATGATCTCGGGCTCCCATTGAAGACAGAGCGTTGTTTGGAACGAATCATTGATGAATGTCCATGCCATCTGAACCATCTTGCCGATTTTGTCCCGATCGCCGAGAATACCTGGAGGCATTCAATGAATTTCACAATGGATTATTCAATAGACGTCAGCGTGGCTAAGTCTCCGGATCTGTATAATTTCATGAGGACTCCGCTCACCCTTGGCGTATTTTAGTATAAACTGGTACGGATGTTGGACTTGGAGGTCGAACTTGATCGTTTTCAGGAGTATTCGTTCCAAGGTCATGACTTCTTCCCTCGGATCGTCGCCGAATTGTTGGAACTGCCTGTCCGTCAGGAACTCCTGCGCCGTTGCGATGATTTGTTTGCATTTCTTCGGTGTCTCTTCCACCTGAGTAGAGTTGCGAAATAATCAAGCTGCGGGGGTCGATCGGAGAGAAGGAGACTCGAGCATCGTTTCGACGCGCCGCGGTGCGGGTGTGCAGCTTGGCCTCGCGTACGCGACCGAACCCCTAAGACTAGCCCATATTCAATCGAAGCATCTACGAACCTTTCCAGCGAGGAGTAAACAACAACATGATGTGATAAATCGCGGGAACTGTTTAAAGCTATGAAACATGTAAAATCTGTAAATGAAATACCCCGACGTTAGAAGAGTACTCGACGGAGGACAGACCAGCTCGAGAACATGGAGGTGGTACGTAAAGGAGCAGGCACCTGTGAAAGTAGACTGTGCCACTCGCAGTGGTCTCGTACTTCAAGCCCAGCTTTGCTCCGACCTTCACAATGAGTCTGACTCCTTCTCGTCGGTAGCGCATCTCTTTACTGTTCGAGATTCCATCCAAAAATGACGGTGTTTTCCTCAGAGCCTGCAAGCCGAATTCGTCGTGACGAACCACTTTCCGAAAGACTCGTACGGAAGATCGAGCCCAAAACAATATCAATGGAAAGCCGATGGAGTTGAGTGGTGAAATTTAGGAAATATCATCCTTGCGAATGATCGCAAGCGATCTCGGTCATCATGACTCGGCTCGCTTCGAGTGCAAAATCGCAGCTTCCGTTCACAACCTCGCTTACCTTTTTATCGTAGTACCAGTTCGGCATTTTGAAACGAATCTCTGGCTGCGTCATTGTAAAGCTTATTGGACAGCCTGGATTGCACTCAATAATCAACTTCAACAGTCATCAATCGCACGGGGAAACCTTCTCGACGTCCACTTTGACTAAATCTTACACCGTTCGTTTTAACGTCAACAACAACAAGCATGAGCTCCGAGATCTGTCGCCATCTTTCTGCTACACCCGGATGGGCCGGTCGGTATCTGCCTCCGTGTGTCTCTACCCTCTCTCAAACAATAACGATTTCGGCTGATTCAGCGGAGAAATCGTGCGCCGCCGCTGCTTACTCAGGAATTACTGAATCGAAAATTCGGCTCCTCATCATTCTGTACCATCGCCTGTGTCTCGTCGATCGGGGTTGAACATTATCGAGCTCGCGTCCAATAAGGAAGAATGTCAGGGGGGAAATCATTCCGAAGAAAACAAAGACCACCCCCTGGGAGAGTGTATGGTGGTGGATAGTAGATGATTTGTGGATGATCCTCGCTGAGAGCTTGAGGGCGCCCGGGCGGGTTCTCATACTTCCTGTTGAACGAAATAGATCTCAAACTCCTCAATCTCATTAGCATTGCCTCGGTTTCGGAACCCCAGACGTGAGCTTCCTTCGTCTTCAACATTGGAAATCACTTTCGCGGCTCTGATAGTCGAGGCGTCGTTTTTTTGTATTGCTTCGAATGACTGATCACCTACTCGCCGTCAGGTCGACGCCAATTATTGTCGTCTTTGCATTGTCGTATATAGTCGAGCTCTGGAACTCCTGCGAAGTGGACTACTGTCCGGAGCCGATTCAGTGCCTTCCGAATTCCTGGACTCCGACGCCAGGATTTGCATGATCAGTGTTCCGCCGTTGAGCGCGGAGTTTCGCTCGCGGCACCATGCGACTTTCCACAATCGAAATTCAAAGGTTCCCCGAGCAGTGATGACGATCAATTCTTAATGAAAACCAAGCAGACGGGAGTTGGCGATCCACCTAGCGGAAACGAGGATCGCCTCTATTCGAAGGTCTTCGGGGGGAAGGAACAACTGGGGTGGGGGGGGCGAGTATCGCCGGTGTGGCGCTGTCACCAAACATGCAGTTGAAAAGCTGTCTGTGAAGGCTCGGTACGCGGCAGTGAAAAAGTAATTTTTGATCTACATGCGCTATGCGATTGATTGAACGGAATATTCTGCCTCCCTCACCCACAAGTCCATCATCGATCGTTTGGGGATCATGAGAAGCTGGGTGATTGCCAGGCTGTAGTCGTAGATAGATGGGGATCTTGCACGACGCGATATCACGCACTTTCAACATGAGGCCTCAAAGGCGACGGCTCGATAGCGCTGGGCGGTGCGTTGGGGGAGAAAACCTGGACTCACTTACAGCTAAGTAAGCGAGATATACAAGAGACACATATTTATATACAGGGGGGTCCCCAAGTCGATTTTTTTTCTTTGCAACGGTGAGGTTCAGAGGAAAATTGCGATGAACTACCCCCCCTGGCTTTTTGATTTCCCATTGGGGAAACATATTGCCGACTGAATCAGGGATGATGCCCACGATAAAGAGTCTCATACTCGATTTTCCCCATGGCGGAAGACGGAGCGTTCCTTTTTTCCTGATTCTCTCCATCGAAAACGGCTAGATTTAGAAGAATAACGTGAAGCTTGACCCATCCTTATTTTCGATTCGACATCCGAAAATGATGTCCCCACCTCTTTATCTTCGAAACTGAGCGTTTCCGAGGATACCGAGAATAGCATTTAGCGGAGAATCAAGTGAGGGACCACCCGATATATCAAAATCCAGAGCTGCATTGAGCTCCTCCGGTAGCGGAGTTTTGTTTTCAGATATCGAGAATCGGATCCTGTGTGGAGATGGCGATCCCGGTGAGTCAAGGCGCGGAAATTGTCCGAGACGACCCTGACGGGGCGGCGGACGAGGGATTCTCCGCGAAAGATCCCGATAGAAGGAGAGCTCGATCATGAAGCGGCTCAAGCCGCGGGCAGCTATGACTAGCCTTCCTGTTTTCGGAAACTAAATCTGTCCCCAATCTTGTGATCCTAAATAGGTCAATCATACATCAAAATCAACCTCGACGAAAAGGGTAATCATAGGATTCGAAGTGTCCGCTGAGGCTCATTGTCTTCTCACCGAAGTTTCGGGGCTCCGCGGTGTTTCCCGAGAGGAGAAGAAGGCAGATACAGCGTGTATCATCTCACTCTAACTAGTCTGCCGCGGGATAGCTCTCACAGACCAGAAAAGGTGACGAGTCCTACTACGGTATCGAGATCTGTTGCGAGTGAGATACCCGGTGGTTTCGGAGAACTGAATCTTAACCCTAGCGACACTCCAGATTGAGAGGTGTGGCTTCATCGCTTCGCCTGTTCCGGGTAGACTTCTTCCTTCCGCTCGCCTTGCGTACGATCTGCTTCTATTGTCTAGTTTGTTATGTCCGCATTCTGGTTCTGATGACTGATCGAAAGATCATGCGCGTCGCCTAAACCATGCTCGAATATATATTTACTCCAAGAATGGCTGGGACGAGTACACGGGTTCTGAAGGCATCTATACCAGACATAATCTGCAATATTATCTCTGATAACAGGAACTCAGCAAAAGTTTCATATCTTGCGGTTCGGGAATCTAACGAGACGACATTCAATCAAGACTACCTCGTGCGAGCCTGGGATGTTTCTCGAATGTATTGATGGAGAAGATCCCGAAAATATATTCTGTACGTATCGCTCCGCATCCTGTATGAAGGTGGTCGCAGACTGTTCGAAAACGTGACACTAGCGGGAGCTGAACGGGAAATATTCCATGTGACTCGATAGGGCTAGGGAAGAGAATCGAAACCACTTCGAGCGTCGTCAGCGCAACGGAGCTGTTCAGCGGTCCCGCAGCGAAGTCCCTCTAAACGAGGGTCGAGCTTCCTGCATTTGACAGCTCGGGGCGGGGACTCTTGGTCCATGCTCCTCCCTCCGCTTCATCTGCACCTCGAAGCTTGAAGCATTCGTGCGCGCGAGGCTAGCCGTTTCCCAGGACTGCTTCTTGACGATTCTGCTTGTAGACCCAGGGCATCCCAAGCAACGGATTGACCTGTTGTATTTCCTGTGAACCGTGGATTTCTCTCCTAGTTGCGCGCTCAAGGTTTTGCCGGGGAGGGAGGACCTCGAGCTGATCGACGACATCGACATAGTCAAATCGAGGTGGTCATTATTTAAATCGGACCTCGAGTGCCCTACCCAGAGCGAGTTCGAGCACCATTAATAGCTCGACGAGAAAATTCTCTCAGTTTTCTCGTGAATTCCGAGGAAGCCGAATGACGTTTGAGAAACTTGCCTTTATGTAGGAAGGATCACCGTTCGGCTCTGACGATCCGCTCCAGATCAAGGGCCGGACCTCGATTAATGGCGATACGCTAGAGCAAGTGCCGTGATAGCGTCACACCTACCCGTTCGCCTTCCTTCGATCCGCCTTAACTTTGCAACTCTGCCAGAAATTACTTTTCCAGTTAATTCCTCCCATCAGTCCAACGAAATTGTCGTTATTGGAGTCAGTGGTCTGCGGAGAGCTGACGAGCTTCGCAAGCTCGACCCGTTCCTCTTTTGAGAGAGTCGTTGCGTACCCCGGAAGACAATGTATCGGGGCATCATGGAAGTGGGAGAAAATTCGAAAAATCATCAAAACGGTGGTCAATACGAAACGATGGTTGCCAGCCTGTGTTCTGCAAAAAACGAGAGTTCCGCGGCCAAGGCAAGTGTCCTCAGACGTGATTAGAGGAAGGTAATAAACACCGATTTTTTCCCCGGGGAACCAAGAGAATGCTCATCATCATTCCGCGTCAACATTCCTTGGTCTCGCAGCTCGACGTAATGGTCGGCGGCGCTCGGATTCACCCGGGGGTCTTGCGAGGGTCATACGAGGCTTGCGGATTCGCGCCGATTGTGGAGGAAACGGAATTGGAACTCCTTCTTTATCGACCACAATCCCAACATCTCATCCGACTCACACACAGCTGCAGACTCGACGTCACTGTTGGTATTTGATCGGAAGTGCTCCAGGAGCATAAGTTGAGAAGGTATTGCTGACATCACGGTTCGCCATTGATGGCAGGGCCGGGTTCAATTGAGTGTGTAGACTGCACTGTAGAAGTACAACGTTCTTGAGCGTGCTCTGCAAGTCCCCACGGATGGTAGCGCCTGTCCCTGGAATGGTAGGGTCTTTGACAGCATACGGCTGGTGGTCCCAAAGTCTGAGGCACGGTCTGGAAACTCCCGATCTGCCAGGCTGCTTTCAGACCTGGAACAATTCGTTTTCCGCGGGGAGAGACCCTTTCCCACATCGTCGCTCCGCGAGACGGGAAACTCGATTTCTTTCCATACATTTTATTCCACCGGCAGAAATCTCAAGAGATGCGCCATATAACGAAAGGATTGAGGTGCCTCGCAGGAGACGCTGGAACGATGTTTCTCCGTCTCGGAAAACCCTAGGAGCTCCTCATCAGAGTTTCTCAACGCGATGGAGTATTCTTTGAAGTTTTCCAGAAGTCTGAGGGCCTACCCTGAGAAGATTATTCTCACTGTCAGTTTCCTTTTCTTCTGCTGTGACGATCTCGCATAGGCTCCGATGATTTGAATAAACAATGTTCCACCGCAAATGCAGACCTCGGTCGATCGCGAAGCCTCTTACTCGATGCCGTGCGGTGACAACCCATTGAATGCTGTGGTCGGAGTCCGGATTCCCACAAAGCTAGTCGCTAATCCGCTTCGTAGTCGTGTGCCGAGCTGCCTGGCCGGGCCAACAAAACTCTGACGAGACTTGAAGTTCGGTTCGATTTAAAAATATGAAATCTGTCCCCTTTCAACTCTCACTCGTTCTTCTATCGGCAGCCTAACCCTCTAATTGGATGACATGCCTTAAACTGTTTTCACACAGCAACATGGTCCTCATAGGGGAGACATATTTAAATGCGGATTTGAAATCATGTAAGGGAGTTGAAAGAATTCGAATCGCGCTGATGTGGGAACCACGCGTCTCAGATCCCGGTCGAGACGACTTCAACTCTAAAAGGTCCCAGGCGGATTTCGTTGCTCATTTGGAAACTCCGCCGGAGAGGAAAATCTCTGGGGGCCGCCGGTTAAGATTTTTCGCTTCCGTTCGTTAGACGAACTCTCCCAAACTTAGGGATCGGGTGACGTTCCGCAAAGGAAGGGCTATCCTAGCCTCCAGGAACTCGATCCAAGGTTTAGGGATTCGGGATGATTTGATTGAGCGGGGAGTTCCGCGAGAACACTCGACCCGCAAGGAGGGCGGTTAGCCGAAGTCCGCTCGTTAAGCGGGGCGTCGACTCCTTGGCATTCTATGGCGGGAAACATCTTCAATGGGATGGATCCAGCGCGACCATAATCCGAGAAGGAGACTCACTTTATTCGAGCCGACGGAAATATCGCCTGCAATGTCCGACAGATAGTTAGGAGCTGCCCGTACTTGTTGACAGAAAGCTTTCCTCGATGCCGGAATAAGATGTGTTATTTTTCTATTAGGACATGATCAGCATATTGATAGAGCCTTTGATATGATAACTAGCCTTCTCCCTCCGAGGGAGTGGGCTGGTAGATCGCTGAGCCTCCCCGCTGTCTCTGCGGAGCATGTTTTGAAACATTCCCAGAGCCCCATTAGCGTCCCGCTGAGTGTCGCGAGCGCTCTCCTCGCGGCTTATCCTGTGTGCTTGGGACACTCGATCTCCGTGGAAGTCACGGGAGCCCAAAAGCCACGTAACAATAGCGGGCATAACGATTCAGTCGACTGTTCGCTTCCACAGAATCGTCACAGGACTCTCTGAGCCAAGATTCTCGCGACTCAAGCGTCCTGAGACACGAGCCTTACTCGAACCGCCGGAGCTAGTCCAATCTCTCGAAGAGAGTTCGAAAGTGGCCAGGAAGCTATGGATCTGGATTGGCGTCTTCGCGATGCCTGGCGATGTACCGATTCGAGGTGAACTGAGATAGGGATCCTCGGTGGGAATATCGCGAAGGACCACCGGAGGAGCATTCCCGAAAGAACTCGGATCCGCAGAAAATCGACTGGGTGAATCGTTCTCAGAATTCGATGGACCTATTTATTGTACAATCATTATTGTTCGACGGTGTTCATTAATTACAGGATTTACATTTACAGGGTGGCTATGGTGCATTGCTGGATCAAGCTCCGATCACAGAACTACCATCCTCCTTGTTGCCATCCGGCTTCCTGCTGTTGCCATCCGGCTTCCTGCTGCTGCCATCCTCCGTGTCCACCGGAGGAAGCACCACCACTCTTGATGAGGATGATCTTAGCAGCTCCTCCCTGACCGCCAGATCCTCCGGTACGAGCGAGAACGTGTCCTCCAGAGCTGGTGGTTGTGATTTTATGGACGGATTTGATCTCTTGAGTGGGTCCAGAGATGGTGTAGGACGCGCCACCTGCGGCGGCTAGGTGTCCGTGGGAAGCTCCTCCGCCCAGGAGTCGGGAAAGTCCGACGGCAGAAAGCGCCGCATTGTCCTCATCGGCTCCACCGTGTCCACCAGAACTACCTCCGATGAATCCTGCCGAAGAGACGGCCACGAGAGCAGCGAGGACGACAAAGGTTTTCATGGTTGATGCTTGCGACTTCAAAGACCGAAGGTGCGATGTAGATCGTGGCTCGTGGGACGTATTTATTAGCGGACCTCCCGCAGCTGGGTAGAGAAGAACTGTGGAAAGTGCGCCCCACACGGTAGAAAGAGGCTTTATTCACGCCAAGCTCTTCGACAACTATCGCGTGAGCGATCAATCGAATCAATCCCGAACGAAGCAATTCGATGAGTCTGTGAATTCGACTAGAGCACTCCGCATTTGAGCTTGACCATATGCTCCATACATGAATAATCCTCAGAAGCGGAACAGAACGGGATGGAAAAATCGTGGAGGTTGTTCTAAGATCCATTCATGATCGCATAATCTGGCGCGTAGATAGGTCATAACATCCTCCGAGTCTAGATTGTGATGTCTTTGTTCCGTCGGGAGTCACAATGCCTTATACGAGGCTGCGTGTCACTTACTGACTGAGTGGGAACCGGATCTGACCCCCAACGGACCTTGCCTCGAATCGGCACAAACCGCTGCGAATTGCGTCGGGAATCACCGAAACTCCGATCACTGCTGGAAGTGCACTGCATGGGAGAGGATCAGATATCGGTGAATTCACTCCGAATGGAGCACCCCCTCCCTCGCTGTCCGGCCGTCGAGTTGATTCGCAATAAGGGACATAATAGGATATAAGGATCACAGCGAACGTTGCTCCGAGGTAGACGTATGACCATCCGGGACTCTTGATTGCTCTGTGGAAGGTGTTAGATCAGAGAAGGATAGGTAGCTCTGGGGTGAGTTCTGGGCACCCGCGAATGTTTTCATGATTCGAATGAACCCTATTGTCGTTGGCCCGTGTCGAAGGTCGTCTTTTCGCTCAAGCATACCGAAGGAATTCTGGATGGCGGTAATCCCCCCCAGATTCGTCCTTCATTACGGCTGAGTGTACAAATGGACCCTCATTTTGGAAACTCACTCAATCAGCCTAACCCGGAATCAAACCCAGCCCCAGCCGATTTTCTTGGAGTTTGCATTTCCGCCGGGAGAAAACGGTCTCCCCCTGCGGACACCGAGAGTGCGGATCCTTTAGCCAAGTCAGCGGGTGAGGAAACGCTCGTATGGATTCCTCTGGGCCTCGGCCGGTACAATTCAATGGCCGATCCCGTGTCGTAGGTATCTTTGAACAGGGAATCTGGGCAGGGGCGTACCCGGGGAGAATCTCTTTGGAAGATTGACTGATCCACGGGAATTATTTCCGAAAAAAAAAAACAGAATGGATAATCTCATAAGATATATTCCGTGGGTACAACACTCTACCAAAATGTAGCGGAAGAAGAAGAGAAGAAAATCCGAGATAAAAATCGAGCCAGGGGGAAATTTAGAGAGAGTAAGTTCAGGCATGAGTTGAGGCTCTCTCGCTCGCTTCTACGATCGATTTCGCTTCTCTCAATATTGCCGCGAGCATCTTCTCCCTGTGCGCAATCTGATAACGTGACCATATGTGTGGTCATCAGAGCCGGAATCCAAGAAGGTGGGCTCGTGCTGAATCTCTGTCGGAGAATCCTCTTTTTCCACGGGCTCCATTCTGATGGGGCGCGCTCCATGGGCGATCCCCCCAGAAAGATTTGTCCAGCCACTTAGACTGTTCGGGTGAAAGGAGACAATCTTTCGGGAGCGAACGCTGTCCCCACCTAAATTACGCCACTGAAATTTCCATAGATCACTCATCGCATTACAATCCGATTTCGTCAAGGGGTATCAGTGAAGAAATCGATCTAATCTCTATGAGATACGTGTTTTCAGCCACTTCTGTGAGATACGCGGTAATAGGGCACGAATCAGGTCAAACGTCGTGAACTGTTCCCCTGCTATGGCGGAGCGGTTTTATGACTTGTGCGGTGATAATAATCGGCTCTCTGAATTTTTCTGAAAAAGATGCCGTTGTAACGTCCCTGAGAAAGGCGACCGTTGTGTCAACAATGGAAATCAATGAGGGCCACGTATACTTTCAGTACATCAGCTTCTATTGAATGCTTCTGCGAATCGAATCTTAACGCGTAGCGATTTGTGGGACAGCTAAGACTGCGGGCACGCCTGCGCGCCGCAGTGCAGCGTTTGATCGTTTAACCCGTCTCGATTTTCTTAATCCCGCAATGTTTTATCGGATGATTTGCATACTTGGGCACTTCAAACCACGTTCCACGCAACTAGCTAGTCTTTGATACCTTTGGGATCACCTGTGAAAGATCCGCACGCTCACGAGCTGGTAGCGGATATTATACCCAGGTGTGAAACTGAACAATGCGCACGAATGTTTCTTCAGAATTATCCGATGTCTGATAGGAAGGATCGGTCATTTTAAGCTCAAGTCGGATTTCTCGAACGCATCTTGCGTCGTCGAAACTCTGCTGATACTGGGTCTGGATTTCTCGAGTACCTTCTATCCGTAGACTGATACCGACGGAAACTTATTCCCTCAGCCTCATTCTTCCGCGAACAATACGATCACGGCCATACATCACCCGAGGATTTCCGGTCAAGAGAAGCTTCCAAGTGCCTCTACACGTCGAATTCCATTCTTCTTCCAAAGTCCCGGTCCATTGAAATTTTCCGCGGGCCACGTCATGAGAAACCCATGCGAAAACGATCTCGGCCGAGCTTCGGAAGGTTGTCGATCCACTGATTCTCTTAAGAATGTCCCCGATTGCGATGGATACCGACTCCGGAGGATGGTCGGGCCGATACGAGAGTCAGCTCCGGAGTGCACGAAAATATTGACAGGGGACACCTCTTTTCATGTTCCGTACGGGATCGGCCAGTCACTTGTTCTGTACTATGGCAATGCACAGCATTCCAGGTGCTCAGGATCCCGGTCTGTGCCGAACTCTCGGTACTTTCACGATAGTCCCAGGAAGCTTCTCTAGGCGGGGTCCGGTGTCGTCATTGCTTTCCCCGACAAAACTCTCGTGGAGATCTCTCTCGAAACTCTCCGAAACCGCCAGCCATTCCACGCGACGGTCCGAAACCTCTGAGACAAAGAGGTATTGTACTGCTGGTCTTTCCGCTTCCCGTCACATTGAGCGGTGTATTGAAGCCGGCCGATGGGAAAGCTCAAAAAAAGCTCATGCATATATTATAGAAACCGGCCGTCTAACCCCTGCGTTCGTCATATGGGACAAGATCATCGCGTCGACGGAAAAGGATGCAATCGTGAACAACGAGAGGAGGGCGAGTGGTTCAGGCTTCTTGATCCGATGGCAGCTATATAAAAGGGTATTATTGACGTTCCGTGTCAAGCAAACCACTCGAGTGATTCAGCTGAATACAATCATCATGAACTCTTTCATCGTGATCGCGATGGCCCTCGTGGCTGTGGCTAACGCCGGTTACCTCGGAGGCAGCGGTGGATCTGGAGGATACGGAGGCGGACACGGGAGCGGAGCTGGTCAGCAGATCCTCATCATCAAGGGAGCCGGTGGTTCGGGAGGAGGCGCCGGAGGCTCCCTGACCGTCGCCGGACCTTCCCACATCATCAAGACAATTCACCAAGTCAGAACTATTGACAACGGGGGTCAAATCCTTTCCAAGTCCGGAGGAGGCGGCGGTCAGGCTAAAATCCTCATCGCCCGGGTTGCTGGAACTGCCTCTGTTCAGCAAGCAGGTCTGGGAGGAGGCTACGGAGGAGGCGCTGGCGGATGGTCCGCCGGAGGCTCCGCTGGAGGACACGGTGGATGGTCCTCGGGTGGCTCTCAGGGATGGTGATTATCTGCTTCGTGACTCTATTGTAAATAAACAGAGTTTGTGTAAATACTAACAGAAGAAAGTCTCTCTATGCGATTTGGCCTAGCCCAGGAATCGAACGACGACGGGTTACGATTCCAATCTCTTCCCACGTTCTCCGACGCGTATGCACTGATGCAATGCAGATGAGATCGCCATTAGTTCTCGCATTACTTGCGCCTCTCGAACCCCAAGTGACAAAAACATTGATTTCATGCTCGAGGGTCTAAACAGGCATAGCACGAGCCGTCAACTCCCCCCTCCCGGCGACACCCCTTTGTTCAACTGGAAACGATTCTGAGCGGCCCCGAAGAGGGTGAAGCGCTCGCTTTCGAGAGCAATTATTGCATTGTCGCATCGGAAAATTCGCCCGCAGCTCGGAGCGCGAATAATGTTCCACGGAATCGACTATCGACGCCTTCCCCGAGCGAATCCATCGCGGGATCCCGACCGGGAAGGGCGTCACCGTAGCTCTCGGGGATATGCACCTGGAGGAGTAGTGCTAGTCGTTCCACCATCTCTCGTGGAGTCCTGTGTTTCTGCTGACTCGTGAAAATCGCGGTTGATGTATCTGCTGATGGTGTGGTATCGTGTGTGAAGTGCTGGCATACAAATTTCGCCACACGATGACACCGTACCTAATTGTGGAGAAGGTGGACTCTGTGGGAAAAGTTTGGCTTCCATCATCGGCTCGTGCGCCCTTCGACCAATTTAGCGCCACGTCCACGAAGACCAATGAGAGCTCCAGAGAAGCGGATGAGTGAGCGAGCGGGCCGATAGGTCGTATAGCGAGTTCAGATCTTGGCGAAGCGCCCTGACAACGATTCGATGTCACGGATCCGGGCGATAATCGCGACTGAAATTCACTGGAATATCCGTTCATGTGTATCTGATTCCGATATTTTTCGGAATCAGTTTCGGGATTTCGCGGCAGTATCTTGGCTTCTTGGCCTTGTGGGCCGGCGTCTGAATAGCTCGATCGAAAACTGGTTTTGTGGGTGACAGCGAACAAATGCGAATCGAAGCACCGCGAACGAGGGCTTCTTTGTCTGAACATTCGATTAGAAAAAAACTTGAAGAGAATCACAAGTAGCATCGATGCTATTTGACTTTTCGTTCCGCTGGCAAGCAACGGGAGCTCACATAAGTCTCGGAAACGCTGTGAAAGCACCTGTCACTGTATCCAGCAGGTCTCGAATACTTCAAAGCGATACTACTCTCGAGTTTTTCCTTTTTTAATTGGCGCAGTCCTGTAGCTAACAATCGAACAGCGAACCGAGGCTTCAGCAGTGTGACGCCGAGAGCTTTTGTATCGATATCAGATTCCCCCAAAAAATACCTCCTCCACAAAAATAGGATCGCGAGCTGGATTTTTAAGTCTCCCACACCGCATTAACCATTCGGAATCTCGTTCGGAATTCTTAACTCGGCGACTGGACGAATTGTTGGCGAGACATTATTTTAATTTTTTAAATCCCGCACAAAAACCCCTCTTCTAAACCAGAGCTCTGTCGCATCAACGCTACTCCGGTCGGGATCGTGGTATTTCAGCATCCTCAGCTTGTGACCACTCATGGACAAGTTTCCTCTTGTACGAGGACGCTCGAGTAAACTAGAGAATTTCTCGAACATCTACAATCTGCTGGAATCGAGGCCCGATGCTTCAACTCCAAGAGACGCGATGCGCGATCGATTCTTCAGGAGTTCCCCAAAGTGAGCGATCCATTTCAGATGAATTCTATCGAGAACAGTTAGTCTGCGGAAGAATATGATCAGTGCCTCGAGTTTGGCAGACTTCCCGGTGCCCCGCTTTCGAGGTATGCGCACGACGTTCAGGATACTCCTTTCGCTAATCTATTCGGAGGACGATCCCGAGTGCCGAGCCTGGGCTCCCCACGACGAGATTCCTCGATCTGGCACATCCTCGACGCCGAAGATATCCATTCATTAGCAGGACGTCGGAGAATCTCGTCATTTTCGGCTTAGTCCGACTTTCCGTTCAACATCCGGAGTAGGGGCAACCGATTACCCTCGGCCACATCCCGCGCAACATGGCTTCTACGTCCCACCAACCTAGTTGAGAACTCCAGACCGCCTAGCCCGGAGCATCTAGGATTGGGATCGACTCATCGGGAACGCTGGATCGCAGGACTGTCCAATCAGAGATTCGCGCTTCCCACGGCAGTCGAGTCTGCTGCGGAACCTCCGTGGCAATCGCCTTCCACAAAGGGACCGTCTGCAGAGGAATGCTGGCGCCGTTGAATGGCGAAATGTCAGGATGACCACCATGCAATTGTTTACTTTGGCATCGGTAATCCGAAACCATCATCGCCGCAATCGTGGTGCTTACACAATAGTTTTGCTGGTCGGTGGCTCGCGCCCAAGTGGTGATGCTTTCGGAGAGTATGCATCGCGCCAGATATGGCGGTGTCGGAGCAATCTTATGCAAGCTCGGACGTTCCCGCAAGAGAACCGCAGGCGTTTTGATTTTTTCGCCGCTCACAGAATACCCGGACCGAGCTCGGACGATCTCGCGGAACCATTGGACAAGGACGTTCGAGCGTGAAATCGCTGCTCCGATGCGGAGTGTGTCTCCGAAAGACACCCTCTCCCGAATAGCCAATTTGAAAATGTGTCCGATTGCGGTGAGTTTGGGTCGAGGAGCCCCGCTTTTTCCTGAGAGGAGACATCGAGCGCCTGCCACACGACCAGAGCCACGGAGGAGGGTCGATCGGAACAAAACGGGGGGAGGGGACTGATGCTAAAGGGCGAAGAGATGTGAAACAATTAACGCCTGTGGGAAACAGCACGAAACTAAAGGCTGGCAAACTGCATACTCCCGCTATTCCTGAGCTGCATATGTCCTGGGACTTTCTGCGGCTTCAATCAAAACAAATCTGAAGGCTTGCTTTTTCATGAGATGAGCGACTGGTGTTGGACTCCCGAAAGTGTCCCGTATATTGCTTGCTCACGGTGATGAATGCTTAAGTTGGATTCCTGGGCCGGATCGAGTTTGGACTGAGGCATCGAAAGTTTCCGCTATGGACTCGCTCGAAGTATTTCGATCAGGTCCTGAGAGACGACCTGCTGCTCACACAGGCGCGTCCGCAGAGGGGGGGCTTGGGGGCTATAGCCCCCTCCCAGATTGAGATGTAGGAGCGGGTCCCCATGTGGAAATCAGCCCAATGCGAGGACCCGATCCTAGCCCCCCCCCCCCCCGCAAGAAGAATCCTGTGGACGCCACTGTCCTCACAGGATGGCCGATATTTCTCTGGACTCAGGAGAGATGAGAAGCTGAATGCATCTTCGTGTGTCAGGTTGGCAGCGCCCGATTATATCAAGGACGCTGAACCCGAACTCTATTCAGTCAGATGAACTTCCGAATGGGTCTATTTTTGGGTTGTGCCAACGACGAGACTTTCCAGAACCGTCGTTAAGTACTCGGTGCTGGAAGCTCGGAGCCCCTTGAGTGTTTCGAGACGAAAAATCCCTCCTCCACGAAACCTTCCGTCGAATGTCAATCCAAAGAAAGGTTCTTCTCCGAGCTGGATCTCCCCGCACCAGTGCGACTGTCGACGGGCCCGATCGCTCCGGCTCTTCTTTTTTTGGCTCAGAATTCCACGTCACGACATTCCGGGAGGAGGTTCCCTCAGGGAGTCCCCGTGGAGCATCCGTATCTACATAGGGTTTCCATTCCCGCGAGGAAGTCAAAGTGTACGCCGTGACGAGTGCTTCTGAAGATTCGAAGCCTCTATCCGACGAAGCTTGGTCATAACAGCGGTCTCCATAATCCTTGATATCCCCCTATATAATAAAACAGTGACGTCCCGACTCGCCGTACCTTCTTATCGGTGTCTAGTCCTGCCCGCTTCAACTTCAAACTACACTGAAATTACGCGGGGCCGCCTGAGGGAGTGTAAGATATAGTTTTCGACAATTTGATCACAACTTCATCCTGGAAATTACCAATTTCCTCCCCTGTTCGAGCTGAGATGTTCGTCACGGCCCTTCCCACGAAGCCGTCCGACCGCCATACTGCGTGCCCGCTGCCGAACGACTAACGACTACGTATCATATGAGACCGATGAATACCTATCATGAGAGCTGTTCCATTCATTCGAGCTCTTCTACAGAAGCTATCTTGGTGTATGAGAGCTGATCCTTTCAATCCAGACCTCGACAGCCAGACGAAAAATGGCGACCATTCGATCAAGAGACCATGGTTCCCTCTTCCGCGAACTCCACAGTTCCTCCGCGGCCCATGAATGAGTTCTCGTTGTGTCCTAAGGCAGCGCGAAGACTTTCGCATTTCACACCTTCGCATGGTCTTTCTCCTACTCTTTGTTGTTGATGACGAGTTGGACTCGCGGCTCACTTCTATTTTAAGTGCGTGAATTCCAGTGCTGTTCGAGTTTCGTCCGTTGCGCCCCCGTTAGTTTTTTCTTCATGTCGAAGTGCGCTTCATGACGGATTCGGTCGTAAGTTGTGACAAGTTTTCCCTTGCCAGCCAAGTTCGGCGTCATAAGTCATAAGTCAGCACGCCAAAGAAAGCTCGAAGGCCTTGTTTCGATCTCCGTCGCCGAAGGCGCGGGCGAACCATACGAGAGACTCCAAGGATGGAGAATTCCTCTTCCCGCGATACCCCAAACGTCGACAATCGCAAAGGAAAAGACATTGCTCCAGGAAACGCTCTCTTCCTGAGTCCTCAAGGACAGAGAATCGCATTCCTCTTGAAGTCCCAATGATAGAGGATTGCATCTTTCGCTATATTCCGGGAACTTCGGGGACCAATGATTTCATTGGGATGGATGTCGAAGGAGACCAGGAAGTACTTGTCGGTGATCTCGCGGGACTCTCGCTCGAGAGACTTACAACCGTCCTTCCAATCCCGACAGTTTGGGAGCGATAAACGATTTTCACGTTGGCTGCGGAGCTGCCAATTTCGCTGCCGATGAGACCACTCGCGGACGAACTGCGTAAGTCATAAGCTGTGCTTCGAACAAGGTCTGATTGACGCGCTCCCGAGATTTCCCCGCGGTACTGCGGTTCCTATACCCGGATCAAGACGAGGAGTCGAAACATTTCCGACAGAACATAAGGAACTACAATAATGCATTGGCTATGGCCTCAATGACGGCGAGAATCGAGACGCCTCGAGGATTCGGCCCGTACTGCTTCAGCGTTCACGGTCAGGACCAGAATACTCTCGGAGGACTTCACCCCCGCGAGGGCGAGCCACCACTATGCGCTCAAGTACTTATTATGGACACGGAGCTAGCAGCAAAGGAGCTCGCTGCCGAAACACGAGAGATTTCGAACTTCGAACGAAATTCGTTCGGAATTTCGAACTCTTCCAAGAATCTTCATTTCCACAACCTTCTCTGTAACTTTCCACTCCCCTCCGCCCCAGCCTAGAGATTGCACACAGGTTTTATCGCATGCAGCTTCGTCCCACCAGAGCCCCTCCCCATTCTTTCTGAGGCGCAATCGTGGAGCTTTGATTGAGCTACCGACACGATGATGGATTTCCAGCGTCGAGGGACAGTCCCTCCGTGCAACGTATCGGTTGTTTCCTTCAAGGAGAGCTCCTCACACACTCGGCATCCGGGCAGGAGCAGCCGGGAGGGTGTGAAGCGATCCTTCCGATGAATGCATCGTGTATGGGAGACATGCGGAGAGACCCGGTGAAAAGAACCCTCTCGTGATTCAGGAGCTCACGCTATTCCGCTCTTCAAGAGGTGAACTGCTTAATGTAGGTACATATTCTACACCGACCGTGTATGTGACCAACACGAATACATGGTTTTTGAACATAATGAATTTATTTCCGGATCGATGCTATCATTCTCTATGAGTACAAAACTCTTGGATTCCGTTCCGACGCTGTGGCTCGGGTGCGTTCATCCACGGAACTAGATTTCTTTGAACAGAACAAAACACTTCTCCTTCTCATGACTGAAATGGGCTCCATCAGTCTCGTCGTTCCGCTCGTCAAATTGCACTTCGTGTTCAATATTGGCCGTCAGAATGGTATTCTGCATGTTTGCGTGTGATTGGGCGCGATTACCTGGGCTTATTCTGCTTCTGTTGTCGTTGTCTCGAGTAGAGGTATTTCTTTCCGATCACTTTCGCCGCTACAGTTCCGCATTCATCGACGGCCGAAACATGGGTGCCGGTTGGATTGTTGAATGTCGTGAATTGATTCAGCAAATATCCGCATTTGTGGTAACGGGGATCCTGTTCCAATATTCTTCCTCTGGATCCCGTGATGAGGTTCAAAGATGGCAACACCTTCATTGATCCCGCTGCGTGCTTATGTCATGGATTTTCCCGCTGTTTCCCTTCGTTAACGAGTGCACAGCTACATGTGTGGTGGAGGCATGTGTCTCAAATGGTGAGGACCCAGAGGTCCCCCCATATTCGGAGGTGGTATACCGTCAGGAGATGAAAGGGACAGAGAGGAGAACGCCGTCCTCCGGTTGGCTGGGTTGACTCCGAGGTTCTCCCAATTTATCCAAGAAAGTCGAGCCGTGAGGTCTACAAAACGCATAAATAGCTTTAATCGGGGATTTCCAGTCTCGGGATCGAGAAAACTCCGAGGAACCTTTCGGGTGACATCTCCATCACTCGTTCGGTCTGGAGGTGGGTTTTCCTGAGCGCCCGTGTGGCACATCCTGAATCTCTCTAATCGTTCGCTTCTGTGAGAAGCCTCGAGTTCGGGTCCGCGGCCGCTCCTGTGCGAGACAGGATCACGTGCGAGTCTGCGGGTGATGGCTGAGCTCGCGGGGCAAATAGCTCTCTTTGTGAAACCACTGAGGGGAAGAGAACCAGCCACCGTGCAAGAGCTGCAGCCGCCAACGAGGCGCTCTCGAAAGACAGGACATTCACTTACCGCTGGTATTCCACTCGTGTGAGTGTTCACCGCGGATTTCGCCGCGGAGACATTTCTCGATGTGGGTGAGTGGATCGTAGTTCGAGGTCAACACTTCCTTCAGCAACGCTATGTAAGCGATCGCCAATCTGAGCGTGTCGATTTTCGAAAGACGTTTCTCAAACGGGAACGTTGGCACGTGGCAGCGGAGCTCTTCGAAGGCGCTGCAAGAGGTACTGAAGAGTGAGAATCCAAAACGAGAGTTCTGCGGGGCGCAGCTCTTCTTCGAGAAATCACCCGGCCCAATTTTACCTGTTGATGCTCATCATGCGTTTCCTTTCCCGAATATTTGCAGCCCTTCTTTGAACCTTATAAGGTCCACTAGAAGGATATTCATGCGGGTAGAAACTCTGCGACGGAGGACTCGAGCTCGGTGCCCCTAAAGGCCCCAGAGTGCCCTGTCCCACACCACAGACTGTACCCGGGGATACCTGTGAAGGTTAAAGGACTCCGGTTCTAGATCACGATCTTCGTCGACTTCTGCCCACCTCGGATGAAATGGACGCCGAGCCCTGTTCTACTTACGACACCGTGAGCACCGTCCAGGGAGACAGCAACGCTGCTGTCGTGTGAGTTTTGTGACTGACCGGGCGTTTGTCCTGACGAAGATGCGCTGGAGCTTGAGCCGAGCGGTGAGCTGATGTCCCCTGAAGCGAAGAGCTCCCCCAAAGAGCCTCCCTGCATGTATCCGTACGGCGAAGCGGCTCCTGACATTGTTGATCTCTTTTCGGAGGGGCAGCTCAACTCAAGCTCCGGTGGAAATGCGCACGGAACAAACTTCTAAACTCGCTACACTCCTGGACGGAGTTGGTAAATCCGAACACGTTGATGAACGGGGTCGACACCGCTTCTCCTGCCGAACTGAACTAGAATCGTTGGTTTTTTTCTCAAGTCCGGGGGAACCCGGATCTCTGAGTAGAAAAACCAAAAAGAGCTTCCAACTTCGGCGGGTATTGTTGCAAGCTCACATGTTTCCTCAGAGCCATCGGATTTGGATGTGAAAGGCAGCGTAGTTTGCTTGCTTGCTTGCCTGTCAAACGCACTCGAGCTCAAGCACCGCCTTCGCAAGTCCCACCCTCCGGATGCTCCTCCCAGCGGAACCTCAGGTCCGAGACGAGAGGCACCTTTTGCAAAGCGGGATCGGAATCGGAGTTGAGATCTGAAGTTATCGTTCAGTTCTACCGATTGGTATTCGGTGAACCTTCTGAGACGGTCGACGGAATCGACGTTCCATCGACGATCGATTTTCAGTCATCAGTGGGGGGACTTCGATGTCTCTCATTGTATCGGATCATGGAGCGATCCTGCTGGAATCCGGTAAGCTGTGCATACGCTCAGAGGTGATTATTCGACTCTAGCCGAATCTTGCGGTTCTCTCTGAGCCCGTAGGGTGAATGAACGTAAAACTTGCAAGGATGGAATTCTCTATCTTCCGGTCCGCGGAACAAGTGGAAGCGTTCTCTGATCGCGAGCCGGTCTCGCTAGGGTGTGCCAATTTGAGACCTCGTGTCGCGATCAATGAGAATATCTCCCCGTTCACTCAGAATCGGTCCTGTCCTGGTCGAAGCTCCAGGTGAACCATTGTTGGAGGTGCTGATCTGGTGATCAGTGATCACCCGCTATCATGGCTTCGAGGGCCAGACGCTCCCCTCGGCTTATTTCTGCGGAATGACTCTTTCTCCAGAAGGGCTGATCGATGCCAGAGCGAACTGGATGACTCCGGAGGGTCGAAAAATGATTCAGCCTATCGATTCTCTGCCTCAGAAAATGGAAAGTCGGCGCACTGATTTTGGAAACACGAGAGATCTGAGACTCTCGCATATTCGAAGCGAGAAAACTGAGTTTCTTCCCAAGTCTTGGAGAGAGCATATTTCCTTTCGATCTGACTCGCTTCCTCCGAAGTGCCAGAGGGTCCCGAGTCGAGCTCGGCGTTTGTTGCGCGCGCGGCGGAATCCGCCGAGCTTCGCGGCATTTCGAGCCGGTATCTCTCACAGACCCTGTACGAGGGAGTGAATCTCGCGAAATTCATGGTATCGCTGGATCGGATCGATTCTTCCGGGGGCATCCTCAATTCCGGATCTCCGCGTCATCTCAGGGTTTGATTATGTTTGAAGAAAAGCAGTCCAGCTTGGGCTTGAGGGACGATGTCCGAGTTCCGCACGGCTTTTATGTGTAGATGAAAGCATTTCTTCGATTTATATGTTGAATGTCCTTTCCTTGAGCAACGGAGGCTATGCTATCGTCGGAAGCTCTAGTCCCCCTTGTCGGACCTTGGTGATTCACTTGTCCCTCAGAGAGTTCCTCTTTTTGGTGTAAGACCTTGGGATCGGCATCGACAATGTTGTTCCCGCATGTGAAGCTTTCGGAATCGTAAGCTTAGCTATTGATCTACCGTCTCCAATCTGGGGAACTCGGATTCTGCTTCGGCGAATCCGTCGATGTGCATTCGGCGGATCTGACGCGCAGCGCTGTCGAATCATTTGATGGAGTTGTATCACTCGCAAGGAGCCTTGCGCATTTTTCTCGAATCGTTGCTTACGCGGAGGGTACACTGCTGTGATTCTTCTGCTGATTGGTTTTCCCGTAGCTCGTTGTTCGTCTGCATCATCGGTCTCCTGCGGCAAGCAGAGATCTATGGATTTGGTAGACATCAGACCGCCGCCGCCATCACCGTTTAGATCAGGGGAATCGAAAGTCAAATCTTCGGCGGGAGAAGCCGGCGGGCCACGAAGGAGCACTGGGAGAAGCCGGCGGGCCACATCCAACGATTTTTTCGACATCATTCTTAACTCACGTTGTTTGACATACGTACATATATGCATGATGGGCCACAATAGATTCTCGATTCTCCAGAGTCGACTCGTTCTATTCGTTATTCGAAAATTACAAGGATATGATTCTATGTAATCCCTGAGCATCGGCCGCGGGCCACGAGAAAACCCCTCGCGGGGTTTAGATCATGAGCTTCTGGAAGGAAGCTTCAACTCGAGCCTTCATCTGGGTCTTTGGGTCAGAGGCGTATCCAGGGAAGGGGGCCATGCCCAATTGCCTCTCTCATCGCGTCCATCTCGTTAGCCCCTCGTGGAGGCTGGCGAGACCGCAGCGCCCTACCTTTGTCCGTATCCATTCTCGAGGGGCGCCTTCCTGCCTAATTTAAATCCTTAACTTATATATTTTGCTATCGCCGCAAACGTCTTCCACCTTCACAATTCATGTCGATGTCCACGGCGTGCGGCACGGCGTTCCCCGATCCGTTCCCGTGACCTCTCCGGAAAACCCCTCTGTCAAGTCCTCGCCAGTCGAGTTCGATATGGGGGGGAAGGTCCCACTTGTCGCTGAGAAGGTGACCATCCGGGATGTCGCAAGTCTGCGAATTCTCATAAGTCTCGCCGGAGCTACCTCTCGATGTTAGTGAAGTCCGACCCTTGGTCAAGGATGACCTCATTTCTGCATAGCTGCGCTCTGTTATATCGCCACACAGCCCTGCGCTCGCGAGAATCGCTCTACGCTTGGGGAGGGTAGGTAAGAAGATTGATCCGGCCGCGGTTCCAGGCTGTGAGCTCTCCCTCCGCTCCTTCGGGATAAGGTTGGAGCCCTACAGATGTGAAACCTTCCTTTCCCCATGGACATCATAGGAAGGAACTTCGTTCGGCTAGGTACCATGCTTAGCGCATCTTATCTGACGAGTCTCTCATTTTCGGACTCCAGGCTGCATGAACTTCTCGAGTCACTGCTACACAATCACGTGTTTCCACGCCTCGTGGTTGCTTTTCACCGGTTTCCGAGGATTCCTGTGCCCGACTCCCCGATATTGAGTAGTGTGCCCTCGACTGGCGATCCGGCTTAGCGGTTTCGGCACGCTTGCTTCGCGAGCTCCGGCGTTACATCCCCTTACCCCCGTCACCCATCCCTAAGCCTAACTGCCCATACATCGCTCCCATCACCGCTCAACCTGTTCGCGGTACTCTGACCGTCACGGTATTCATTTCAATCTCGTCTCCGGGATTTTCCGACGCACCTATACCTGCTGATTTGTTACTCTCGGTTCGGCACTCAACTTACGTCCCCAGTCTCCTTCCATCGATACCGATCCCGATCATCTGTTTTCGTCATGGCTGACCTATGCTCCATGTGCTCTCGGAACTCGGGCGACCCGATCTTCTGTTGTACTTTCGGATGCGGTCGAGTCTTCCATAAGACTTGTCTCCCGCCGACCCAGGTGGAAAACTACGTATTGGCTTGCATTCATTGTCGAGTCAAACCGCCGGAGAAATCTTCCAATATAGCCGTCATGAAGCAACTCGCATCTTTCCAAAACATGTTTGTCCATGACAGCTCTCACCTGCGCTCGGAGATTGAATCTCTCAAGGAGACCGTCGGTTCGTGCTCCAACCATCTACGTAAGACTCGCTCCGATCTGTCGGAACTACGGAGAGATCACGATGAGTTACGCGCCGAGTTTAACGAGTTTCGTGTCAGGAGGGATACGTCTCCCCCGAGGTCTCGCCCACCCGGCGATCGTTTCGTCACCAGTCGAGGTCGCGTTGCCGATGACGGTTCCGTCGCCACGGTCGGTACTATGCCTCCCAGCCCATCGTCGATCCCGGTTCGGCCCAAGTTCCTGAAGAAACGAATCTTCGTTTCTCGGATAACCCCCGGTTTCGCCGCTAAGAGCGTATATGACAGCATCAGATCGAGCGTTAAGGGATCCCTGCTTGTCACCAAGCTCAAGACACCTCACCCAACGTATTCCTCCTTCTGCCTTCAGGTCGATTCTTCTGAGGATGAGCTGGCCCTCATGGCGCCTGAGCTCTGGACCACAGGCATTATTATCAGACGTTTCGAGAGGACCGTGCCGCTCGACCGGATCGACTCCGAATATGACGGCTTCGCCGTTACCAGGCCGAACGTTCCGATCACTAACTCTTCCTCCTCAGTACAACAGGATTGACCCTCAGCCCATCCCCACCTCGCCCCTAC